GGCCGCTCTGTAATTTTCCCGGCGGGGGTGCGGTGCGTCACCCTGAGATGTGACAACACACCGAATTGGTGGCTTGTCACATCCAACCCAGCTGGAGCAAGGAGGCGACAAAGGCGGCTCCGGGCACGCGCCGGGGCTGGCGGGTGGGATGCCCTCGGCCAGGCTCGGATCACCGGGCCTGTCCCACGGCACAGGGTCACCCCTGAAGTGTCACCTGGAGCCCCAGTGCTTGGGGACAGGGTTTTGGTTGTCCCCGTCAGGGAACCGCAGTGCCCGCAGGTGATACCACCTCCTTCCCTCCCTCCTGCAACAGCCCCTTGGTTTTTTAATATTTTTCCTGGGAAAGGAGCATTTCCACGGAATGGGCTCATTAGGGATTCTGCGAGTGTCACCAGCTAATTAGTGTCATGTTAATTGAGTATTCGCGATGCTGCCACCTCCAAGGACAGTGGTGCTGGCATGAAGGGGAATGCAGATGTGTGTGCTGTGCCGTTCCTTGCCGTGCCATTCCATGCTGTGCCATTCCATACCGTGCCTCTGGGCAGGCAGAGGGGTCCCATCTGCAGCCCCCTGCACCCTCTGGCTTGGGGGGTGTCCATGCCCAGCAGAGCCCACCGTGCCCCCTCAGTGTGCCCTCTCTGACCTGCTGGCTCTGCAGGAGCACCGGAGCTTCCCAGAGGCCAGGGGTCAGTGCCTGGGATGTCCTGGTGCCACATGTCTTCACGTGTCCTGCCTGAGGGAGCTGCTGGTGCTGTTCCTCCTGTGTTCCAGCAGCTCCATTAAATCCTCCTCAAAGGCGCTGGTTTTAATTGGCTTAATACACTCGTTAATAACAATGCCTATTTAAAGACACCTGTAAAAAGCCCATAATATCAGCTTAATGGGAGCAATGGCTAGTGCAGGCGCTGCGTCCTGCCTGGGCAATTGCTGCACTGATGGAAAGCATGGAGAGCATGGAGAATGGCCATGGATGGAGAGCATGGAGAGTGGCCATGGATGGAGAGCATGGAGAGCACCCACAGCATCACTGCTGTGTCCCCCCATTGCTGCTGGGAGTGGAGGGTGATGTGGAGAGTCACAGATTCCAGTGCGTCCCTCCCGCTGAATCCTGGTTTTAACCAATGCCTGGTTCATCCGGGCATGTCACAGCCATGGAAATGTCACTCAGGGTGGGATTGGGACAGGCAATGCCTTCACAGGGAGTGTGGAATGTACCCAGAGGTGCAGCTCTTCCACGCTGACTTTGCCACCCAGGATGTGGTGGCATCAGGGGTTGCTGACCCTGGTGGCACTGGGAGCAGAGTGCTCCAGGTCCTGAGGGGCTGCACTGCCTGGGGAGGCTGGGCCTCCCCAAACCCCCCAGTTTTACCATCTCTCTCTTGCAAAACCTTCCTCTGGGCAGGCACCAGGTCTGGCATTCCCAGTGAGCCACAGACATCCCTTGGCAGGGCTGGGAATTTTGGGAACCAGCTGGGAACCAGCCATCGTCCCCGTGTGCTGACGTGTACGTGCATGTGCCTGCGAGTGTGTGTGTGAGTGTGTGTGGAGATTTTAAACACCTAATTTATTCCATCTATTAGATAGATTTTGTAGATTTAATCATTTTCACAGTTGGTGGCTCATTGGATACTCAAGATAAACTCCAAATGAAAGTATAATGGGAACGACAAATGAGTTTTCACACCAGAATGGCAGAAACTTGCTCAGGAAAGAGTTTGAAAGGAACAAAACTATATACATATATAATTTTTTTTTTCTGCAGTGGCTTTTGCTGACTCCAGTAGGTTACCACAGTTAATTTCACCAGTTTTGTTCATCTGTAAAATTGCATAAAAGTGACATTTTTGTGCTCATTATAGGAACTGCTGATTTATGGCTGGTAAATGCAATGCTTTTCCATTTTTGGTGAAGTTCTCGTAGCAGCGCAAAGCACCCATGAAATTGCTTGTATAATGTAGTTTAAATCCAATCTCAGAGAAAGATTCCCCCGTTGGGTAAAGTGACATTTCCATTCTCCACACCGAGTTTATTTTAGGCCACTTACAAGTGACTCCCGTCAGCGGGAGGGGACAGCTCGGCGCCGTGACCTGGTTTCTGCCGGGAGCGGGTGGGATCCGGCGGGGGGAGGATGGTGCTGGGGGGCCGGGTCCCCTCATCCTGGTGGCACTGGATTCACCCCAGGCTTTGCTCCCGCAGGCGAGACGGCCCCCATGCATTCCCCGCGCTACCCCAGCCCCGCCGAGCTGGACGCCTACGCACAGAAGGTGGCCAACAGCCCGCTGACCATCAAGATCTTCCCCACCAACATCAGGGTCCCCCAGCACAAGCACCTTAACCGGACGGTGAACGGCTACGACACCACGGGGCAGAGGTACAGCCCCTACCCCCTGCACGCCGGCGGCTACCAGGGGCTGCTGGCCATCGTCAAAGCCTCTGGCAAAAGCGTGGTGAAGAACTCGGAGGGGAAGCGGACTAAGCTCTCGCCTGCCCAGGTGGGCGTCGCTCCCTCCCCCGCCTCAAGCACTTTAGCTCAAGGTCCCTCCTGCGCCGGGCAGCTGAGCTACCACGGCGGCCAGAAGCAGCTGGAGGGTCCCGTGCCCCCCAACGTGACGGTGGCGGCCTCGGTGCTGCCTCTGGCGGGAAGGAGCCTGGCCCTGCCGCCCTCCAACCTGCCCTCCATCCAGAGCATCATCTACCAGATCAATCAGCAGTGCCAGGCGCAGGGTGCCCAGCCCGGCTGCCCGGCCGTCGTGGCCGCCCACCCCAGCCCGGCCAAGCACGGCGCCTTCGGCCCCGGCTACGGCGGCACCGTCCTGCCCGAGTGCCG